AAGGCGATGGAAATGGCAGTAGACGCAGCAAAACGTGGGATGTCCATACGGCAAGCTGCTGCTCACTACGGTGTTCCGGCAGGAACTTTACGCGATAAACTACGACATAAATATTGTAAGAACAAACCCGGGCCGAACCACAAATCCGTCAGTGGTTAAAAGAAGTGCGTGATTATCTGAAAGAGGAGGGATTCGAATATTTACTGGACAACCCCAACCGGATCTTCAACCTCGACGAAACCGCGTTTCAATTAGTCGTGAGAAATTAGAAATGCTTGGCATCGAAGAACATCAGACACCTGCATTCTATCTACGCCAACAATGATAAAGAAAGTTACACCGCACTGTTTACTGCTAGCGCCGACGGCCACCTACTCCCCCCACTGGTGCTATTCCCCTACAAAAGCCGGCTCCCTGGAGAAATTGTTAAAAGTGCTCCACCAGATTGGGGGATTGAAAAACCGCGAGCGGGTGGATGACAAGTGATGCATTTTATGATTATCTTAAGAACATTTTTCAGCCGTGGCTCGAGAAAGAAAAAATACCACTTCCGGTCATCTTATTCGTAGATGGTCATAAAAGCCACACTACTCTGATGAACGCTGAATTTTGTAACGACCATCAAATAATCCTAGTGGCACTTTTCCCAAACTCGCGGCATCTGACTCAACCCTTTGACGTCAGTTTTTTTGGGCCTCTTAAAAAGCACTGGCATGAACAAGTGCTGAGTTTCCGCATACAGAATGGTATGTCGCCAATTTTTAAACCTGAAATATGTCCTCTTATGATGCAAGCTTTACTCAATTTTACTAATAAAGAGTCAGTCGTTCAAAGTGGATTCATGCGGAGTGGAATTTATCCGTGGTGTCCCGATGCCGTTGATTATTCATCTTTACCATTAAGTGCCAATGTTGATGGGTCGTCTGGTACACCACCAGATTCCTCAGAAGTAAAACTAATAAGCCTACTGGAGAGCAGACTGACCGTACAACAGATTACCGAATTTCGAATCCAGCAGAATTCGCTCCTATGGCAAGGAAACATAACTGATACTAACCTGTTCTACTTCTGGAGGAATTTGAAAACCAGCTGCAGCGTCTTCAGCAGTGACAATCAGTCTTTGGAAGCACTTGAGTACAGCGATAGGAATCTTGTCCAACCCGTAGAAGCAAATCAACACAGGAGTAAGGTTTTCGATAGTGGCACCCAACCCATTTTTGTGGATGAACTAAGTGATGACGAAAGTGTTTTTCGAGGATATGCTAATGACGGTATGTTATTTAGATTAAACTTTTTTTTAATTATATAGCTGAATGAACGATTGTTCTTCTATCCCACAGATTGTGATCCTAATATGGCCAACAAATACGCAACGCAGAAACAGTTGTTCGGTCAGTTACCATCTAATGATGATAGACTTTTAAAAATGTCAGAGCCCCATGGTGATAGCGACAAGGAAAATGATACGGATAACACAGCGGCATTTAATTTATCCTTCAACCACCCAAATCCTATTAAATCGGTGCAACGAAAGCGGGTAACATTGCGTCCACCTAATGCTGCTACTAGCAAGGAATTCGCCTTGTTTATGGATGCTAAAGTTAAGGAGAAGGAAAAGGTGGAACACGACAAACAACAGAAACGAAAAAAGGCGGAGAAACTTGCAGAGAAAGAGAATAAGAAAAGAAAAATCAAAATTCGTCGACCAAAAGTTCAGACAGGAATGCAAACGTAAAGGATTAAACTGTATAATGAAAATTGGTGTTATTAGTGTTACAGCAATGAAATAAAATGTTACAGAAACTCTAACTATTTTTCCATCTCAAGAAAGAAAAGAAATGAGAATACCATCAATTAAAATTGAGCGGAAAATTGGATAAAAATTGAACGGTAATTGGAACACCTGATCTTGCCGTGAGCGGTAACTGGTACAGGTAACAGTATTTTTATTTTTATATATTTTTTTTATTTTTATCTATAGATTAAGATGTTTTTCTGATTTTTCTCGCATAGTATCTGGATTGAATTAACGAATAATGCTAAAAACATTTAAAAACATAATAAATGTTTTTTTTTTGTGAATTTTCAAACATAAACATTGGCTTAAATGAGCGGAAATTGGTTCAATGATGGTAACCGATATCCTCAGAGCAGTGAATTGTTAAACTTTAGAGAAGACTCATGATCGTTAGAAAAATTGTGGAAACTTTAGGAAGTTCGAAAAAGTTTAGAGAAGTTGAAAACAATGATGAGAAGTATTGCGAGCATCAGGCTAGCTTCTCAAACTACAAAAGAACAGGCAGTTTCATTAACTTCAGGAATATTTTGGGACCTTTCAAGTTGCTCAGAATAGTCAATTGCATATTCAACGGAGATTTCTCAGGCAAATTCGCTTAGAGGTCTCCTTATAATTCGCTCGTATTCTCCCAAAACTCTCATGGGATCATTTCAGAAATTCTCTTGGCGGGCGATGAACCAGCCCAAGGCTGAAAATCTCTCTAATAAAGCAAAAAAAAAATCACTTGGAACGCTTCTCTGTATTCTCTTAAAAATATCACAAGAATAGACTTAGAATACTTCTCGCAACTATCCTCCGAATCAAATTTTCTTTTAATTTTCCTAGGAATTGCCTTGAAATTCTCCTCAGTAAAAAATCCTATGGAAAGATTCTCAGAATTTTCATTGAATTTTCAGATTTCTTTTTTAATCTCACCCCTTCCCTTGAAATTCTACTCAAAAAGCCTCCTAAGAATTCATTTTCATTTCTGCTCACAAATTCCTGAGATGTCTCCACTTAATTTGTTTGGATTATTTTTCGAATTTCTTTGAAGATCTCCTGGAGTTATTCTCAGATTTAATTGCAATCCTCCTTGGTAAAAAAAATATTAAATTTCCTGAGTAATTATAAGATTCCCTGAGACTTCCAAGTATTTTCAGGAGAAATAAAATTCCCTGAGAATTCCCGCTTTTTTAGGTTTTTCCTGGCAGTAGACACTTGGAGGTTTAGTCATATTGAATTTTTCGCTTAAAAGGTTCCCATCGCACATAACATTTATTTGTCTTTGTCTAATTGTCTTCCCTAAGGTCACTTTTTAGTCACTTTGTTACAACTATAAGTCACTATTTGATCATTTATCTCTTCAACATGATCACTAAAATCACTATTTTTGACAGGATTGATCGCTACCAGCTCTGCGATAAGTACACGGCGAATGAGAACGACCCAAATTTGAGTTTAGTTCACTCATAATCGCCAAAAGTGCAGGAACTAAGCGATGAGTTAATTTGCCTCATGTTTTCCCAGGTTTCTCCAGGATTTACCAGGGAAAAATTCCCGAATTTGAGAAAAGTAAAGATTGGATTCATTCAGTCTATTGGTACTACTACGAGACTGAATAAAATTTTCGTCGATTTCCTCATTTTCCGGCAGATTTTTTAGGTTTTCCACAGAAAACCATGAGACAAATTTTACTCATTGCTGAGTTCCTGCACTTTTGGCGATTATGAGTGAACTAAACTCAAATTTGGGTCGTTCTCATTCGCCGTGAAATAAGCTTGAAATGCGATGAATAAGAAGAAGAAGAAGCCATAGCTGGTACACCTACCCTATTGTTGAGAATTCAACTTAGCAACTATTGAAAAATAATATTCATTTTAAACAAAAAAACGTTTGTAAATGGATTCGATAATTTTCGACTGTATGGAACCTCTAGAACTCACATTTTAGCATCTCAAAACAACGAAAAATCTTCTGGGAAGGAAAGGGTTAACTCGCTGTTGTATTTAGTAGGTAACAGGTGAACATTCTCGGGGTGGTGACGGTGAGAATAAGTTCTAGATTTATGTTGCGGGCAGCGGGAGAGAGCGGGAAATTGGAATGGGGGAGTCCCTAGTAAATAGTTATGCGGATTTTTGTGCAAGGAAAATAGTTCAAATGAATTACAGGAAAGAGAACGGGTTAGGCTGGATAGCGTGCAAATTCCCTCATTCCCTTGATCTGGGTAGTTTGAAGGATTGTGGCACTTCATTATGCCGTATGCTGCACATTTGATTCGTATTTCCTGGTTTGTGTAATCCATGTGTGTCCTAATTTTGGAAATATTATGGGTCAACTCGTCGGGTTACCTACTTACAGACAATGGAAACATTCAACATCGGGAAGTTTAATGTAGACGCATGGTGATTAGTTCGGATATGGCGTGAGAAGAACACCTTCCGTTATAGCGCCTTCAAAAAACTTTTCAGTTGAATCAACTACCAAATGGCACCGGTCGAGATAGGGGCGCAATTAACAGTCAAAGCTTGTTGAATTTGCGGTTTCTCACTTGCTTACCAGGGTGTCAAAAAGGTAAAACTCCCAGCAAAGAACAGAAAACTCGTGGAAGTCGCGTGTCGATGGCTCGAAAAACAAATTAATCATACTCACCGTCAGGCAGGTGCTTCATTCCGCTTTCGCTTGTCATGATTGCGAGAATGCTAGGAGAAAGCGCATGCAATAAGGCGATTTTCTTTCACAATAAGAACCGCAGCAATTGGTTTTCTTTTTATGGCTCGGGCACATTGTTCGAATTTTATTGTTTCACCTAATTTCGGGGGAAAAATTAAAATGTAGAATAAGTACTGCTGTAGAAAGAGCATTTTATTCTGCTTGCGCAAAAAAAAAAGAGTAAAACCGAAACAAAAATGTTCTTACCAAAATGTCTATCGAGAGCAAAAATGGGAACGCGTACAGTTAATATTATACACTGATGATTGCGGAATAGATCGCTTAGCATGTATAGTAAAAATCATTCTCACGAGATCGACAAAATAAACAAAAAAATAACACACTTACGCGCGTCTGAAATTAGAGAACAAACAACTCAAGTATCTCACAATCCGTTACAAAAACTTTAGCATTCACAATATAGTCACGATGGGATTTCTGTCTTTCCTTTTCGTTTAGTTATGAGTTTGTTCTTCTCTGGCGTAGATTAAGCATTGTAGTATTGCTTTTATGAGAAAAAAAAAACAACAACATTCCATGATCTGATCATCGTGGCGATCGTAACCTATCATCGAGTTACGCATTCTAATGTTCATTATAGCATTCCGAATCCTTTGGAGTAGTTGATGGCTTTCAGTAGACGTTCCTCGAGTTTTTCCCTGGTGCTGTACTCCGGCAGGAGCAATACATTAAAACATGTATGGCTAGTCGGTAACCGGTCGCAATCGGGTCCATTTCGAGCGATTACCAGCTTCAGTCGGCTGAGACCACCGACCGGTACCCGGTCCGAGCCTGTGGAAGAGATATTGATAGGTATCGTAATCATTTGATTTGTGCAAATCTAAAGTGCGAAGAATAATATTTTCTGTACTGTGCAATACTTGGTAAATCTAAATAATTGACTTTTGTTACATATTCAACTTTAGTGAACAACATAGAGATAAATGCAATTTTTGTGGCAAATTTAAAAGATTTACTGGTAAATTCCGTTGGAAAATACCTTGTACTATTTATATATACATTAGGGTGGGACAAAATTCAAATTCCAGTTCCAGTATGATTTTCGGGGGCCTTCTGGGTCCTAGAATAACTGTGTAAAATTTCAGGTCGGTCGGTGGAACTATATTTTAGCGCCAGCGGTTTTAATTTTACATAGGATTTTCTATGGGAAAACTTACTTTTTCAAATAAAAATCTGGTGAGGTCACCCATTATCCTCTAAAAACAAACCAACCGAACTTTCCCCTAGGAAATTTTACAAGGAAACTTTTTTTAGAAGACCGCAAAACGATCCGATGCTTGTGGAAAAAGTTATTTAGCCATTACTGATTGCTATTTACTTACCTCTCAGATAATCTTGTTCAGGGTTTTCACCGAGAAAATCGGTGGAGATGTTCATTACAGTAAAAAACTCACTTGAAGCCTGCTCTGACGGGAACTTTATCCTCGCTGAGTTTGCGTCGTTTTCCGGATTTTTCGATCGGTTTTTTTGGCTCATTTAAAGCTGGTAGTTTCTTTACTATTTCGTCTTTAATAAAGAAATCAATCAATCAGAGTCTATTTCTACTTTTGAATCGAAACAAGCAAGGGCCACGTTCCATTCTGATAAGTACCATAGATGATTTTGAAAGGCTTTCATGGCAATCAAAGCGTAATGTTGATCGTGAAAGTTGTGGAGATCTGCTCAAAATTCCAGATCCACTCGAGGGGCCGAAACAGAACTACTTAGACGATACCAATATCGAATGAAGCATTGTGATAGAAATAAAGGGTGTCCACGATGAAATTGCCACACTATGAAATTGCTCTAACTTTTTAACCGTTGGGTAGAATTTAATGAAAATTTGGGTGGATTTAGTTCATAGTGCATTATTTACATCCTGCAAGTTTTAAAGTCCTGTGACCAAAACTCGCGGAAATGGAGTCGAAAGAACAGCTCGTGCGTGATAAAATCTTGCGCATTCATCACGAGAACAAGGATCTCTCGCATCGTTCCGTCGCTAAAACGTTGAGAATCGCGAATTCCACGGTGTCGCGAGTGATTAAGCGGTTCGAGGAACGGTTGACCACCGATCGGAAGCCCAGAAGTGAAGGAAAAAGTATTCCGTACAACACAAAAAATCACAACCGCGTAGTTGGGGCCTTCAACCGAAATCCGAACGCCTCCGTTAGGGATGTGGCTAAGAAGCTGCACCTAAGCCGAAGTTTTGTCCAGAAGGCCAAAACTAAGGCTGGGCTTCGAACGTTCAAGGTACAAAAGGCCCCTAATCGCGACGAGAAGCAGAACAAGTCCGCCAAAACCCGTGCCAGGAAGTTGTACCTCAACATGCTGACAAAAGTTGAATGCTGCATCATGGACGACGAAACATATGTGAAGGCCGACTTCAAACAGATCCCCGGCAACCTGTTTTTCACGGCCAAGGATAAGTTCAGCGTTCCGGAGCATGTCCGCACTCAGAAGATGTCCAAATTTGCGAAAAAATTCCTGGTTTGGCAAGCCATCTGCACGTGCGGGAAGCGGAGTGCACCTTTCGTGACCCAGGACACGATGAACGGACAGGTGTACATAAAAGAGTGCCTCCAGAAGCGGCTGCTTCCTCTCCTGAAGGCCCACAACGTCCCAACAATCTTCTGGCCGGATTTGGCCTCATGCCACTACTCCAAGGACGTGCTGAAGTGGTATGCGGACAATAAGGTCAATTTCGTGCCGAAAATGTTCAACCCTCCCAACACTCCGGAGCTCCGCCCCATCGAGAAGTACTGGGCGATTATGAAGCAGCACCTTCTTAAACGACCTAAGGTAGTGAAGACAGTCGAGGAACTGAAGAAAGTATGGGTTTACATGCAAAAAACGGTTGATTCACAGGTTGTGCAGAATCTTATGGCCGGGGTTAAGGCCAAGGTGCGGGCATTTGCGTATGGACTGTAAATAAAATACGAGTAAAATGGTAAAATGAAGTTTAATAGTTATTTCTCAATCCCTGAAAATTTGATGGCAATCGGATGAAAACTCGAATTTTGCGAATCAATTTTGTGTGTGGCAATTTCATCGTGGACACCCTTTAGAGCCAAAGTTGTGTTATGCTTCCAAAGAGACTGATCATCGAAGTTTTCGCTGCACATCCACGATTTCAAAATGATGATTTTTCGCTACCGATCCACCTCGCACGGCTAAGGCTACCTGCTTTGTGGAATCTTAATCCTTTTGGAGGAACTCCACCCAAAAACATTACGACCAATTCGAGGAGCTCTTCGTAATCTGATCGTTGTTGTTTAATCAACAGCTGGTCGTCACAAAACGCGATGTTTCCGTCTCTCCATGGTTCAGTTAAGGTCCTCAGCTCCGGATCATCCATAACGGTCCGGAATTTTCGGTTGCTCCGATTTTGGTTGAATTCTTTTTTGAATTCAATGACAGAATCGAGATTGTTCGACTTCGACTTATCGCCATATATTTCGTGTTGTAAAACGTGTTTGAATTTCGGCGATGTGATGGCGGCATGCCAATGGTAGCAACACGGCGAATGAGAACGACCCAAATTTGAGTTTAGTTCACTCATAATCGCCAAAAGTGCAGGAACTCAGCGATGAGTAAAATTTGTCTCATATTTTCCCAGGATTTTTCAGGGAAAAATTCCCGAATTTGAGAAAAGTAAAGATTGGATTCACACAGTCTATTGGTACTACTCCGAGACTGAATAAAATTTACGTCAATTACCTCATTTTCCGGCAGATTTTTTAGGTTTTCCACAGGAAACCATGAGACAAATTTACTCATCGCTGAGTTCCTGCACTTTTGGCGATTATGAGTGAACTAAACTCAAATTTTGGTAGTTCTCATTCGCCGTGAAGTCTCTTTTCAGTAGAACTGGAAGACGGGTTATAATACCATTTTTTACGCCAGATTTAATACTAGTTGTATCAAAGCTCATTCCAACTATTCTTTCCTGCAGACCTCACTCGTTGATTGTCTCCATTATCGCAGCTGATTGAGCATCCGCCGTTCCACTTGATAGGGAAGGTACCGAAAGAAGTTTAGACACCTCTGCTCCAGTAACAAGATTGCGAAGCCGATCAACGCGCTTTCCGTTGATGTCAGGCAGAATCTTTCCATCCCAGTGTACTACCAAAGGTACATCAGGATCAAAGCTTTGATTCAGCTGGAAAATTTTCAATCAGAGAGTGACATATTTTCATAAACATTGTTTCGATTTTGAACAAAAAAAAAGTGCTTTAAATTTATTGAAAGTGACGGCGGTTCTTTTCTACTTAACAGCGCAGCAGCGAGTTCAAGCTCTTGGGGTTGTGAATGATGTCGCGGAAAGGGCCGTAAAGCTTGTTTCCGACCTCAACAAAAATTTATTCATTTTCTTGATTTCACCCGGTAAAATCCTACCGACTTTGGTGATCTGATTTAAGTGTGTACTGCAAGTTGTGGAGTACCACCGAAAAATGAAGCCGATGAAATATTGAAGTCTGAGCAGCAGCACATCGCCTGATAAGGTTTGAATAAATTGTGCGCCAAAGCAAATACACCCTTGTAAAAAATCACGCTTGTATCCAAATGACCCCCGTGAAACATAATTGTTGTACTTTACCGGAAACCTGTGTAAAGTTTCATCAAAATCGAAGATTCTTTGCGCATTATATCGGCTTTCCTCCATGCTGAGTGAACCCCCACACAACGTGACTGCCTCGCGCAGACAGCAGCAGGCAGTGCTGCTAGAAAAAAAGAATAATGAGCAGTTCGTTTGGTTAGCAATCAGTAATGGCTAAATAACTTTTTCCACAAGCGTCGGATCGTTTTGCGGTCTTCTAAGAAAAGTTTCCTTGTAAAATTTCCTAGGGAAAAGTTGGTTTATTTTTAGAGGATAATGGGTGACCTCACCAGATTTTTATTTGAAAAAGTAAGTTTTCCCATAGAAAATCCGATGTAAAATTAAAAGCGCTGGCGCTAAAATATAGTTCCACCGACCGACCTGAAATTTTACACAGTTATTCTAGGACCCAGAAGGCCCCCGGAAATCATACTGGAACAAGAATTTTTTTTCATATATCCCTGTCCCAGCCTAATATACATAGGGTAAATGTCAACTTCGGCACCCATTAACTGTTTTCGGCAACCAAAATTTAAACGTTAATTTCACTGTATTTTCCAATCCGAAAACTTCGCTGAATGAATTCAAACGATTCCTTAGATTCATTTTCAATCTGATTACATTTTACGACTGAGCTCTGGATACCCAGAACTGGTTCCGGTAGGGCCCCAAAAAGGAAAAACTTTATGTACTTTTACCATCCGACGGCTCAAAATTTATGATTTTTCATCCAGAAGTAAATAGCCGTCTTTGTAATCTTCGAGTTTTACACTAGTCATCCGGAGACAGCAGAATGGGTTCTGGTTTTTGATGATCTGGAATGCCCGTTGGAATCGGCTGGATACGTCCAAGATTGGGCGGGAGGTAGCTGGTGGCCGTGAACGGTTCTTGGGGAAAGCACTAGACGCGAACCTCCTCCCAGATGACCATGGCAATGCAAGAACATTTGTTTTCATTGATGGAAGTATTACAACAAAGGTAATTGTTACTAGATATTTTTACAAACAGTGACAGATAGCAGACATGAAGCTCATGTGGAGGTGCTGGGCAAAGGTGTTATATCCTAGACAAATGGTATGTTACAAATTCGCTGATGTCGTCATCGTAGGCACTGTCGTAGTCGCTGTTGTAATCGCCGTAGGCAGTACCGTTAGTATATTTAAAATTGAGCATCAGCCGCTGAAACTATATGAAT